ACTGAAAGCAACCATGCTTGGGTTTTCAATTTGTGCACAGTAAGTTGTGTTCACGTAATCGTATGCATTAAAGAAAAACTAACCTTGCAGTCAGCCGTTAGGCAGTTTTGTGCCCTCGAAGCTCCCAAGCAGATCGCAGTCCTTCCAGATGAGGCTGCCATGCATGCTTCCACGCCACATCCGCTGAATGATAACAGTCCCAGCAGTGACATAGGCTTGCACAGTTAGGGAGAACGTGTCCTTTCTATTTTTGTACAGGTGCTCCAAGTAATGATGAAGATTGATGTGCCAGAATGTGCAACCAATGCATCACAGGACCTTAACAAGCCAATCTCTGCGATCTGTGAAGAGCCAAAAACGAGATATTTAAAAACAATCATTAAAAGCACTCACTTCTAATACTTATTTGAGGAAGCTATCACTTCGTTAAAGTGACCAAAATCTGCTATAATCACTTTGAAATAAACTGAAGCCTCATGTAAAATATACGTACCGCAATATATATGTCCTACTGAAGTATAGTACTACCACAGTGGTAATCATCTATAGAACTAATTTTCCAAAATAACATAAATTTTTTAAGTGCAACCTGGCTCCTGAAAAATAAATTCACATTAACTTTCCAACTATCAAACGTGGTCAATCTACAGGCCCAACCTCATAATCAAACAAGAGCTCACTTGTATCAAATCACAAAAAACTTTTTACGTATTTGCTCCATAATATATGTATGTATATAACAGTAGTATTAAATTTTTCATGCTTCAACTTACCATAGAGAAACATTACATCTGATGGGCTTAAAAACTTGCACACCTTATAGAACTGCGTGAATTATAGTACCGGTGAAATTTAGTTCTGCAAGGTGAACTCACCGATGGCAGCATTTAGTAGCCGTCGGTGTCATAAGGAACCAAGTACGGCCAACAGGCAAAGGGCATCTGCAGACTGGAAGCTGCCAATGACAGCAATGAAGGGCTGGCCAGGCGTGCACGTCCATGATAAAGTGTAAGAACTGGCCATGACCGGCTGTTGTCAAGGCTTTAGTGCCGTGCAAAACGATGGCCAGACGAACTCGGAAACCTGTAGTTAGGCGATATTGGCCTACAACTTCATCCAAAGCAAGGCACCGGTGAAATCTTTGCTTTTTTGGGGGGCTGGAGGGAAGCTTGACGTTCACGGGCTCTCGCTACCACATAGAACTCTCAATTTGTTACCGAAGAACAGTCTAGGCGCGCTTCCAAAGTAACACGATCCACAACAGAAAGTAGCATCTCGCAGTTTTGGTTGATCACATCACAGCGCTAGGACTATGGTTATCACAAAAAGGAGAAGGGACGACTTAACAAACAAAAGCGCCAAGCTGCCCCACCACGACTTCGCAGGGCAAAACAGTTATCAACGCTGTCTTTCTATTTTCGGTCACACGAGCACAGCTTGTTCACAAGTCTTGGAACGTCAACACAGCACCACTGTTCACAACGAACATCGTTTCACTCCCGAACAGTACATTGCTCTCAAGTAAATAGAAGCGTACGGGCTAACTAGTGGCGAAGCAAGAACCGAGCGCGTAGTTCATACGTTTCCGTACGTACTTGGGGTCACTCAAGTAACGTGTCAAAACGCTGTCAATCCGAAATGTCGCACAGCACCAAACTGAGAGACTGGAAAGTCAAACGAACGAACTGTTACCGGCACACAAACACACATTGCAGGCTTCTCGAGTGCTAGTTGCCGTCGATACATCGACGCCGATCCCCGCTTGATAACCACACCGACGCACAGGCTTCGCTGCGCTTCACCGTACACCATTGCACTGCCACAGCTTTCCGCACTGCTTACACGCACCGAAAGAGCTGCTGTAATCACAACACATCCGGTCAAACGCTGAAGTAACTCGTGCGAGAAGCGTTTGCTGAAAGTCGCACCGACCGATATGCTGTTCACGACGCCATGTTGTTTTCGACAACTGCGCAGCACATAAGAGAGCTCTTAGAAAGTACTTGCACTATTTTCACGGCGTGACAAAATTTTCTCTTATGTGCGAGGGGGGTGATATGACGAACAGGACAGGCGTGCCAGATGAAAGAAGAGTTTTGGCAACGTCACGGAGTGAGCTGATGTAGAGGGTATTGCTTCACAACCAATCACAAGCTGTGCCTGTCGGCCAAGCCGTCGGCTGCTCGCGTTTGTTGTCTGCTTCGATCAGAGCATGCGACAGGGGATTCGCCTTCGCAACGCTATTATTCTCATGTCAAGTGGTCGCTGCGTCGCACAAAATACATGTCAATGGCTCGCTCTACCTTTGAATGATGTTCGTGCGCCATGTTAAATGGCTGGTAATTGACGTAGGGATGAATTCAGCCAAGGTTTGCTCCAGAATCGTGAGGGTTTGCATATTTTCGGTGTCATACAAAGTTACTAGGGTCATTTCATTCTGATTGCTTGCCATATTATCACGGTTCATGTCGGTGTCTGAACAGTGAAGGTGAAGATGCATGATTTGTTTGTAGTTCCATGCGTAATCACGCGCACCCCTAATACGCTTTGGTTTACAAAGTACGCTTTGTTCCAGATCGTCCCAAAGTGTATCAACAGCTGTATTTCAGAGATCGCAACCATTGGACAGTTAGAGCCATTGAAAGTACCCTAGAGCACAAACTTTATGAACCACTCATTGAAAACTTCCTCTCATTTTTATTTCCAATAGCGTGCAAAGAATGTGCTCCCATTAACCTCTTTGGTGGTAATTTCCACCAATGAGGCAAGGATTTCGAGTCGCACTTTTAATTGGATGAGATGGGGCGCAACACAACAACATAACAAATACGGTTGATTCTATGCCATGCCGCGTTCGAATGCACCGACCATTCACGTATCACATTGGTTTTCATCCAACCACAAATCTTTAGATGCGTAGTTTTATGCCATTGACGCCCAACAGAATTCTTCAATTACTGCGACTTCGAACTTATTCGACGACGGTGGTTGTCAACACCATCCACTGCGTACAAGGGAAACAACACGCGAAGCTCAAAGCGCCGAAAGAAATAAAAACGCACCAGCAGTCATCAGGCAGCCCTTAATGGGCGTGAATTAACTCAAAACCAGCCAGGGCACCAAAGTATACCACCGTGGCAGCAGAGTTCTAAGTAGCCACAATGTTCCTACGAGTGGTCCGGACCACTCTTAGGATTTTCTCTCATCCATACTGTTTTTACGCACAATTTCACTTCGTGAATCCACTTACGAGCACTTTTCGGTGACGTAAGCAAATATAGCAACTGGATCACCAACGCTGACATGTTTCCGGGCAGTCACAGCGCACTTTATTTGCAGCGGCCGATGTGACAACGATGGCCTCTTACGAGGTTTTTTTGTTTCGTGAATCGACTTACGCAACAAAATTTCTCTTGCGCAAAAATGTTTTCGTAAGTAAGTTTTGTGAATCCGGCCCCAGTTCTTGCAAGCCTTTTGGGAACATCTTGAATTCTAGTCTACTTTTATGCAACTGCTGAGGAACTTCAGTGTCCAACAAGCTGCAGTTATGAGTGTCGAAGTGTAAGCGGTGAACGCTGACGTGTGTGCGCGTATCACGTGTTCATGATTTTCCCTACTCCACTCTTTTTCTCCCCTTTTTCTCTCACCCAATGTAGGGTAGCAAACCGGGTAAAACCTGGTTACTCTCCATGTTTTGCGTTCTCCCGGAAAAAGCATCTTCGCTTTGGCAAGAAGTGATACGCTTGAAAAGCTCACCTCACCCAAGAACACGATCGACAGTGTGTAAGAAAATGTGCTGTCAAACCGTTCGTGTTCGCTCCCTCTGACGTTCAAACACCGGCCAGTTTGGCCGATGTACACCTGATCATAACTAAGTGGAATTTTATACACCACGCCCTCAGAGCTATCCACATACATCGAAGCGTATTCCTCCAAGAAGCTTACTTTGTTATCTCGCTTGTTTCAACAGAAAGAGATGGTCACGCCGTTTTTAACTGAGACGTAAATAGATAGTGGCATAGTATTACCCTGTCTCAGTCCAAACAAAATCTCAGAACGTCCATCCGAAACGGCCGCCACCTTCTCATTTTCACCCCACCTTGAATACCACACAGCATGCTCTGCCTGAGTTTTGACACACTTTGGGTATTATAGAATAATTCACGTGCTGAAACGTGGGTGCGTTGGCACAGCATCTCTTTATTTTTGCCACAAAAGCAGAAACATAAATCTCACTCAACAAGGGCCTTACGTATAACTACATGAAAGGTTTCCTAAACATCCCTAGGTTTAGAGTGAAGACAGCACTTTTCTTCTCACCCTCATTACCCTTCGTGCAAGCGCTATCTCCACTCGACACATTATTCATTCATAAAACATGCGAAATATCAACACTAGGTGTTGAGTCAGCCACAATTTTCCACTTTATTTTCTTTATACGCTGCTAAATTCTCTTGCCCAGTCACAGATGCAGTAAACGAAGTGAAACCAGTTTTTTCCCGTACAATTGTCATGCGAGACAAGGAAGAACGTGCATGCGCCGTCACGGCAAAGCAAAAAGGGAGACTATTCGCAAAAGCTGTCTATTGTACACCGATCAACCGCGATAGCATATAAACTTCACGTCACGGGAAAAACCATCTGGAGTCACGAATATCGCCACATAAACAGGAAGCGTTAGGATAGAATGATAAGCTCGTTCTTCGCATTGTAGAGGTAGTTTAAGGGCTTTTGAAAGAACATTTTCACTAAGCATGATTCCGGATACCATTCAAAAAAAGACGACGGTGCTTTGGTAAATGACCCGGTTTGATGTGTCCATGCTGGCTTCTTTTGCATAAGCTTTCCTTACGTACGACTCACCTAAAGCTCTACGCTCTGATGTATATCGTGTACTTTCTGTAGTCATACAATGGAAGTTCAAAGTTTATTGTTCCTACAGTGATATTCCAAGTGAGGGATGCGCGAAGTGCCGATGTCCAGGTGGAGGAAGCAATTGTCATCTCCTCGGCAACAAGTGCAATTGCATCGATGGGAAGTACTACATGCCTGGTTCAGACCAATGCGTTCAAGACAAGGACGACTGTATACTTAAAAGTCCGGACAGGTGAGTAGCGATGAAATTTCACGCTTTATTTGAAATGGCCAGGTTGAGTGTACGGAATAGAGTAACGTATTTTGTCGAAAGGTGCATCATTACTGTGCAGTAAACAGTGCAGAAAGTGAACAGGATCGAATGCAACTAAGGTGACTTCAATATAGGTAGATTCACGTCTTGGTAACTAGCTCGCTTAGAAACGCTTTTCTCTAGAGTAGTTGGTGAATCATAAAAACAGAAAACTCTACATGCCTGCCAAAAAGGTACAGAGACTTCGAAAGCGGCCGCGGATGTTGCGTCGCCCTCACTACCCCAAATGTGCACTCATAAAGAGCCGGTGCCGAATGCCCCTCATGGTATATAATCAGCCGCAGATAATTTTCACGACCACGAACGACCACTCGTGCCTTTATTGAGGTCTCTCATCACGAGGATGCACACTCTTCTCACTGAAATGACAACACCCACAGCTGAATGCATACAGCGGGGTTTGGGTTCCTTGGAACCAGTTCTTGCAAGCCTTTTGGAAACATCTTGAACTCTAGTCTACTTTTATGCAACTGCTGAGGAACTTCAGTGTCCAACAAGCTGCAGTTGTGAGTGTCGAAGTGTAAGCGGTGAACGCTGACGTGTGTGCGTGTATCACGTGTTCATGATTGTGCCTACTCCACTCTTTTTCTCCCCTTTCTCTCTCACCCAATGTAGGGTAGCAAACCGGCTACAACCTGGTTACCCTCCATGTTTTGCTTTTGCCCGGAAAAAGCATCTTCGCTTTGGCAAGAAGTGATACGCTTGAAAAGCTCACCTCACCCAAGAACACGATCGACAGTGTGTAAGAAAATGTGCTGCCGAACCGTTCGTGTTCGCTCCCTCTGATGTTCAAACACCGGCCAGTTTGGCCGGTGTACAGCTGATCATAACTAAGTGGAATTTTATACACGACGCCCACAGAGCTATCCACATACATCGAAGCGTATTCCTCCAAGAAGCTTACTTTGTTATCTCGCTTGTTTCAACAGAAAGAGATGGTCACGCCGTTTTTTAACTGAGACGTAAATAGATACTGACATAGTATTACCCTGTCTCAGTTCAAACAAAATCTCAGAACATCCATCCGAAATGGCCGCCACCTTCTCATTTTCACCCCACCTTGAATACCACACAGCATGCTCTGCCTGAGTTTTGACACATTTTGCGTATTATAAAATAATTCACGTGCTGAAACGTGGGAGCGTTGGCACAGCATCTCTTTATTTTTGCCACAAAAGCAGAAACATAAATCTCACTCAACAAGGGCCTTACGTATAACTACATGAAAGGTTTCCTAAGCATCGCTAGGTTTAGAGTGAAGACAGCACTTTTCTTCTCACCCTCATTACCCTTCGTGCAAGCGCTATCTCCACTCGACACATCATTCCTTCATAAAACACGCGAAATATCAACACTAGGCGTTGAGTCAGCCACAATTTTCCACTTTATTTTCTTTATACGCTGCTAAATTCTCTTGCCCAGTCACAGATGCAGTAAACGAAGTGAAACCAGTTTTTTCCCGTACAATTGTCATGCGAGACAAGGAAGAACGTGCATGCGCCGTCACGGCAAAGCAAAAAGGGAGACTATTCGCAAAAGCTGTCTATTGTACACCGATCAACCGCGATAGCATATAAACTTCACGTCACGGGAAAAACCATCTGGAGTCACGAATATCGCCACATAAACAGGAAGCGTTAGGATAGAATGATAAGCTCGTTCTTCGCATTGTAGAGGTAGTTTAAGGGCTTTTGAAAGAACATTTTCACTAAGCATGATTCCGGATACCATTCAAAAAAAGACGACGGTGCTTTGGTAAATGACCCGGTTTGATGTTTCCATGCTGGCTTCTTTTGCATAACCTTTCCTTACGTACGACTCACCTGCAGCTCTACGCTCTGATGTATATCGTGTACTTTCTGTAATCATACAATGGAATTTCAAAGTTTATTGTTCCTACAGTGATTTTCCAAGTGAGGGATGCGCGAAGTGCCGATGTCCAGGTGGAGGAAACAATTGTCATCTCCTCGGCAACAAGTGCAATTGCATCGATGGGAAGTACTACATGCCTGGTTCAAACCAGTGTGTCCAAGACAAAGATGACTGTATACTTGGCAGCCCCTTAAGGTGAGTACAATGCAATTTTACTCTTTAGTTGATATGGCTAGATTTAGCATACGGGATAAAGCGATGTAATTTTCGGAAGGGCGCATCATTACTGTGCAATGAAGAGTGCAGCAAGTGAACAGGATCGAATTCAACTGCGGTGACCTGAATCTAGCAAAAGTCCTGTCGCAGCAACAAGGTCCCTTAGAAATACATTTTGCTCGACAGTTGGTGCATTATAATGAAAAAAAAAACCGGGTTAATTAGCAGAACATGAGAGAGGCGTTTGTCCTGCAGTGGACGTAGTCAAGCTGATGATGTTGATGATGATGATGAATGAGAAAAAATTCTAGACGCCTAAGACACCATACGAAGAACGAAGAAAAACTAGGACTGTCTCTCGCAACCTTCGCAGGACAAAGGCAGAAAATATTTATGCTGCACCGAACACTTATGAATAGCACTGCCTTACGTGATCACTACACATGAAAACACGAGGTCATGGAAAAGGCATATCTACTCAAGCAATGAAGAGCGAAACAGCCACTCAGACAGGCGCGAAACCACCTATGTGCCACTGATGCACGAGTCACCTGCCTTCTTTTTCCAAAACGCTTCAATTATATCTCCGGCTGGAGCATCTCACCTTTTCGCAATAAGAGAAACGCTTAAGAACCTCCCCTCACAGGAGTAAGAACGACAGCGCGCAGGCAAAGCGGAAGATTTCAAACCAGCACGACTCGTGTCTCTTGCGCTAGCGTCTTTGCATTCGTACTCGCTCCGCGCTCTTTCGTGCACCGCCCCCTTTAGGGCTGTAAACTCTCCTATCAGCTTGTTTTCAATAGTCCTCTGGCAACCATGTAATCTAAACCTCTTAGCACTGTCTTTCTCAACGCAATAAACAGTCAGTCTTTCAAAAGCATCAACGATGGCGTGTGGCGCCTGTTTCTTCTCTCAATAGTTTTGATATTTTTCGTTCCGGAACCCGGATACTGAAGCCACCATCGGTTCAGCAATACAAAGAGGCCATCAGGCGTCGGCATTCTGACAGACTTTACCGTCAACTCAACGATCTTTGAAGGTACTCCCCTTTCTCTCTCACCAATGTAGGTAGCAAACCGGCTACAACCTGGTTACCCTCCATGTTTTGCTTTTGCCCGGAAAAGCATCTTCGCTTTGGCAAGAAGTGATACGCTTGAAAATCTCACCTCACCCAAGAACACGATCGACAGTGTGTAAGAAAATGTGCTGCCGAACCGTTCGTGTTCGCTCCCTCTGATGTTCAAACACCGGCCAGTTTGGCCGGTGTACAGCTGATCCTAACTAAGTAGAATTTTATACACGACGCCCACAGAGCTATCCACATACATCGAAGCGTATTCCTCCAAGAAGCTTACTTGTTATCTCGCTTGTTTCAACAGAAAGAGATGGTCACGCCGTTTTTTTAACTGAGACGTAAATAGATACTGACATAGTATTACCCTGTCTCAGTTCAAACAAAATCTCAGAACGTCCATCCGAAATGGCCGCACCTTCTCATTTTCACCCCACCTTGAATACCACACAGCATGCTCTGCCTGAGTTTTGACACATTTTGCGTATTATAAAATAATTCACGTGCTGAAACGTGGGAGCGTTGGCACAGCATCTCTTTATTTTTGCCACAAAAGCAGAAACATAAATCTCACTCAACAAGGGCCTTACGTATAACTACATGAAAGGTTTCCTAAGCATCGCTAGGTTTAGAGTGAAGACAGCACTTTTCTTCTCACCCTCATTACCCTTCGTGCAAGCGCTATCTCCACTCGACACATCATCCTTCATAAAACACGCTGAAATATCAACACTAGGCGTTGAGTCAGCCACAATTTTCCACTTTATTTTCTTTATACGCTGCTAAATTCTCTTGCCCAGTCACAGATGCAGTAACGAAGTGAAATCAGTTTTTTCCCGTACAATTGTCATGCGAGACAAGGAAGAACGTGCATGCGCCGTCACGGCAAAGCAAAAAGGGAGACTATTCGCAAAAGCTGTCTATTGTACACCGATCAACCGCGATAGCATATAACTTCACGTCACTGGGAAAAACCATCTGGAGTCACGAATATCGTCACATAAACAGGAAGCGTTAGGATAGAATGATAAGCTCGTTCTTCGCATTGTAGAGGTACTTTAAGGGCTTTTGAAAGAAAATTTTCACTAAGCATGATTCCGGATACCATTCAAAAAAAGACGACGGTGCTTTGGTAAATGACCCGGTTTGATGTTTCCATGCTGGCTTCTTTTGCATAACCTTTCCTTACGTACGACTCACCTACAGCTCTACGCTCTGATGTATATATCGTGTACTTTCTGTAATCATACAATGGAATTTCAAAGTTTATTGTTCCTACAGTGATTTTCCAAGTGAGGGATGCGCGAAGTGCCGATGTCCAGATGGAGGAAACAATTGTCATCTTTTCGGCAACAAGTGCAATTGCATCGATGGGAAGTACTACATGCCTGGTTCAAACCAGTGTGTCCAAGACAAAGATGACTGTATACTTGGCAGCCCCTTAAGGTGAGTACAATGCAATTTTACTATTTAGTTGATATGGCTAGATTTAGCATACGGGATAAAGCGATGTTTTTTCGGAAGGGTGCATCATTACTGTGCAATGAAGAGTGCAGCAAGTGAACAGGATCTAATTCAACTGCGGTGACCTGAATCTAGCAAAAGTCCTGTCTCAGCAACAAGCTCTCTTAGAAATACATTTTGCTCGACAGTTGGTGCATTATAATGAAAAAAAAAACCGGGTTAATTAGCAGAACATGAGAGAGGCGTTTGTCCTGCAGTGGACGTAGTAAAGCTGATGATGTTGATGATGATGATGAATGAGAAAAAATTCTAGACGCCTAAGACACCATACGAAGAACGAAGAAAAACTAGGACTGTCTCTCGCAACCTTCGCAGGACAAAGGCAGAAAATATTTATGCTGCACCGAACACTTGTGAATAGCACTGCCTTACGTGATCACTACACATGAAAACACGAGGTCATGAAAAAGGCATATCTACTTAAGCAATGAAGAGCAAAACAGCCACTCAGACAGGCGCGAAACCACCTATGTGCCACTGATGCACGAGTCACCTGCCTTCTTTTTCCAAAACGCTTCAATTATATCTCCGGCTGGAGCATCTCACCTTTTCGCAATAAGAGAAACGCTTAAGAACCTCCCCTCACAGGAGTAAGAACGACAGTGCGCAGGCAAAGCGGAAGATTTCAAACCAGCACGACTCGTGTCTCTTGCGCTAGCGTCTTTGCATTCGTACTCGCTCCGCGCTCTTTCGTGCACCGCCCCCTTTAGGGCTGTAAACTCTCCTATCAGCTTGTTTTCAATAGTCCTCTGGCAACCATGTAATCTAAACCTCTTAGCACTGTCTTTCTCAACGCAATAAACAGTCAGTCTTTCAAAAGCATCAACGATGGCGTGTGGCGCCTCGTTTCTTCTCTCAATAGTTTTGATATTTTTCGTTCCGGAACCCGGATACTGAAGCCACCATCGGTTCAGCAATACAAAGAGGCCATCAGGCGTCGGCATTCCTGACAGACTTTACCGTCAACTCAACGATCTTTGAAGGTACAACCCCCTCGGACTTCACGGTTCTAGCAACGGGACCTAACGACGCCACATCCATGCTGCTGAAAGCAACGTAATGAACAAGATACGATGGAGCGACTTAGGAAAAAACGAAGCGCTTTGAGAAGCCAAGCGATGAAATTGATATCCGAAGCAGATTCATCGCTAGAAGCACAAGCAGATGAAGTGACACTAAACGTGCTGTCAGCAAGACTCGGCGCCCTCCTAACACAGCTTAACGAGGTGGACGCTGCTGTCGAGCCACTTGTGCCAGACAAAGAAGTCGACGAGAACTACGCACGTACAATCGCGTACAACGACAGAATAGTAGCCTGCGTCGCAAGGCTCAACCAACAAGCTGGAGCTCAACGAGCGAACGCCATTACAGCAGCGGTGGCGTCTCGGGCCTCTCGCGACGGGAACCTGAGAGCCAACGGCTCAAAGGTGAAGTGCCGAAGCTCGAGCTGCAGTGATTTAGCGGCGCCGCCACGGAGTGGCAGCCTTTCTGGGAGCAGTACCAGCAAGCCATACACGGCAACGGCGCTCTTTCGGACGGAGAGCCGGGTCCCCGCGCAACGTGTTGGGTGTCCCTCCGGGCAGAGTAAGCTTCACCACTGGGGCGAGCCCCTCGAAGCCCGCCTGTACCCAGCTCAGCTACCAGTGGGTGGCCGGCCGGCACTGGGGATCAAACCCTGCACCTCCCGCAGCTGAGCCATAGCCACAGTTTTCGGACGGAGAGAAGTTTTCGTATTTGCACTCGGCGCTTTCTGGGAGGGCAGCAGTGGCGTTGGCCGGTATACAAGCGACCGCAGCCAACAATAATACGGTCATCGAGCTTTTGAGGGAGCGTTTAGGATGCACAGATGAAGTCATTCAGGAGCATCTTACGCAGTTGCTCGACCTGCCAACTGTACGAAGTGGGCACAAGGTAAGAGTTATACGTCGCCTCTATGACCACAAGCAGTGGAGTATTGCCGCATTCACGACACTTGGAGTCCAGACCGACAGCTACGCAGCAATGCTCGCCTCTGCACTTCTGCAAATGCTGCCAGGTGAACTAGTGGTAGAATATCACAAACATCGCTCTGCAGAGAAAAAAAAGAGGATAGCTTGTGCACTGCGAGTTTGCGGTGTTTTCTCAAAAACAAGGTGGAGAGCCTCGAAAAGGCGCTGCAGGTTGGGCACAGAAAAGGCAAAGGAAGTAGTACAAAGCCACGTTTTGATAACGAAAGGTCCCGAGCTTCTAGGGTGTCAACAGCTTCACTTCTAATGGCTAGTGAATTCAAACAGAAAGAGCTTGCTGGATATGTAAGGTGTAACGTCCCAAAACCACCACATGATTATGAGAGACGCCGTAGTGGAGGGCTCCGGAAATTTCGACCACCTGGGATTCTTTAACGTGCACCCAATTCTGAGCACGAGGGCCTACAACATTTCCGCCTCCATCGAAAGTGCAGCCGCTGCAGCCGCGACTTGATCCCGTGACCTGCGGGTCAGCAGCCGAGTACCTTGGCCACTAGACCACCACGGCGGGGCACATATATATACATTAGCATTTTTTTTATAAACCAACCAAAATATACCCTTTTTAAATTTGTGTGATTGTGCCGCACTCGGGTTGCCCCAGAGTAATGTTTTCACGCTGCCTTGTTCTCTATAGTTTTTCTTTGCATGAAGCCCAGTGTCACCCCTCCTGCAGTTCTGCTACTTGTTTTACATTTTGTACTTTCTATAATAAATTATTAAAATTTTAAAGCTTAGTGTTTTTACAGTCCTCTTTTGAGTCGTGGATGCGCAATATGCCAATGTCCAAATTGAGAGAGCAATTGTCGTCTGCTTGGCAGCAAGTGCGAATGCAGAAATGGGCATTTCTACAAGCCTGCTTCCAACATATGCGTCCGAAAAATAGAAGACTGTAAGCTTGGCCACCTTTCAGGGTCAGTACCAATGCAACTTCGCGCTTTTTTTAAAGGCTGATATGGTAGCGCATAATTCATTTATTTATGGGTTTTAACGTTCCAGAACCACCATTTTATTATATTAGACGCCCTACATAGTGAATGACTCGGTGAATTTCGACCACCTCGGATTCTTTGCCGTGAAACAAAATCTCGGCACACGAGCCGACAGCATTTTCGCTTCCACGGAAAATGGAGCCACCCCAGCCGAGATTCACAACCGCGACCTGCGGGTCAGCAGCCGAGTACCTTAGCTACTAGACCACCACGGCGGGGAACGACAGCAGATAGTCCTACATTTGGTACGGTGCTTTCAGCCATACTGTGTGAAGAGTGCATCAAGTGAACTGGATAGAATACAACTAAGGCAACTTTATCCAGCAAAATCGCGCATTGGTATCTAGCTCGCTTAGAAGTGCATCTTGCTGGGCTATAGTTGGTGCATCATAAAGATAGTATATTCAATAGTTCTAAAACAACACAGAAAGAACGAAGAAGCTCAAAGTAACAGCATCACTCGCCACTGATTTAGTCTCAGAAGAAAGGCACAAATTATATTCACCGCACCGAACATGTGCAAACAGCACTGCCTTGCGTAATTACTACGCATCGAATTAAGAGATCATGGGAAAGCCATTCCTACTCAGGCAACGAAGAACAACTCAAGCATTCTCAAAACCACTGATGCGTCGCTTACCCACGAGTCGCCTTCGTTTCTTATCTAAAGTGATTCCATTATTTCCCGGGCCAGAGCATCTCAGCTTTTGGCAGAAATAGAAACGCCTAAAAACCCCGCTTCAATAGAGCAGGTATGACTGTGTGCGAGAAAACGTGCTGCTGGAGTGAAAAGTTGTTCCCTTATTCTGACGTTCAAACGACGCCTAGTTTGGACGACGTAAACCCAATCAGAACTAAGTATAATTTCATAAACCAAGCCCACAGAAGGATACAAATACGTGGGGGTCTGTTTCCTCTATTACTTCCCTCATTAGCCCATTCACAAAAAGATGGTTCTGTGCTTTCTTTGTAAAGACGTAAATGAATATATACACGAATAATAACAATGTGTTCCAGTCGGAACGAACCTTGAGCACGTTCACTCAGAACGACCGCCACGTTCTCATTTTGGCAGAACCTGACTTACCACCTATTATGCCCGGCCAGGTTTCTCACAGACTTTATGAATTGGTGAAAAAAAGAACTTGCTATAATGTGGGAGTGAGAGCTTCCTATAGTTCCGTGGGAAAATGTGAACAGTGACAGTACCGAAATGGTAAATCGAAAAGCTCACTCAGCAAGGACTTTACGTAGGACTACAATAAACTGCCCCTAAGCCCAACCGAAAGTACGAAGGCGAGACAGTAGTTTTTTTTTCGCCTTCATTATACGTTTCGTACAGCCGCTATCTCCTCCTCGACAGTTCTTCCTTGATAAAACATTGGAATGTTAGCACTAAGCGTTGCCCCAGCCCAGATTTTGCGCTTTTTCTTTACATGCTGCTCCCTACGTTCGTGCAGTCGCAAACGCTCAAAACGAAGTGAAATTAATTTATCGCACACATAGCCATCCAAGACAAAATAGAACGTCCATGTGACTGCGTGGTAAACAAACCAGACTTTTCACCATATATGTCTCTCGTATACCGACAAATCGAGAGCGAATTTGATCCCGACTTCGCGTGAACTACCTGCTAGTGTCACGAATTGTGCCACAAAGACAGGCAACGTTGGGATGAAACAAAATGCTAGCTGTTCGCCTTCTCGAAGGCTGTCTAAAGGCCCTTTAAGGGACATTATTACAATGATGATTTCTGCGTAACCCTAATATGATATTATGTGGGGTTTTATGACCCAAAAACCACGATATGTTTATTAGAGACCAAAGTGGTTGCTTGAGCGTGTTGGTACCACATCGAGAAAAAGGAGCAGCACGACAACGAGAAACCAAACAAAAAAGTACACATATAGGGCGCTGGCGTACA